GTGACCCCTGCACCGCCCCGTCCCGTCCCGTCCCTCCTCCAGCTCCTCTCCCCCGCAGCAAGCCACGGCAGGCACTCGGGTTACAGGCAAGTTTTCTTTAATGCCAACGAACAGCCATGAAGCAACCGATAAACGGGTGGCGAAAGCGGGCGCCGCGAAGCGAAAGGAGCCGTCCCAGCCGCGGGAGGAGGGACGGCCACGCCGGGGAGCGGGAGACAGCCGTCCCTGCCGAGCGACCGACGCGGGTCTCGGCTGCTTTCGGTTTGGTTTCTTTATTTTTGTAAGGAGAAAAAAGAAAAAAAAAAAAGAAATCCGCTCCTGTGCTCGTTCAACAAGGACCGGCGGCGGTGGGGACACGCTAGTGACTCCCTACAGGTACAACAAGAGCGTCTGCTCCGGTGGCAGGCGCTGGGTTCGTTTTCCTAAGCGATGACACAGCCTCCCTTCTCCTTGAAGGGGTTCTTTTCCTCGGGAACCCCCTTCACCAGCGGGTCCTCGCCCGACCGCTCCTCGATGTAGTTCTTGATCTCCTCGGAGCACTTGGACACCTCGAGTGAAAGAACAGAGAAGTGGCTGCGTTACGGCCGGAGCTCACCGTGCGCATCAGAACAGCAAACTAGTGAATTCACATCCTTCTTTCTCTTATTTACCTTCCCATCAAATATAAAAGATCTGACCACAGAGCCAGCACTAAGCAGGTGCGGACTTGGCTTCCTTCCACTTTTTCACAGCCCGATATTCGCAGAACATGTGAGTATCACTGGGAATGTATATGCCACTCGGAACAGCAGGTGCTGCATAGTTAAACTTGCATTTTTTTAATTAGCCAATATAGTTTTACTAAGCTGCAGATCACACTCTCCCTCGGCATCAGCACAACTTACGGTCAATGAGTTCAGGATCAGTAACTTTCAATTCAATTTCAAAGTATTTATGACTTTAGGTGTTTTTCCCAAATAAAACATTCAGTAACCATTTTCAGTGGTAATACAAACTCTCACCTTGCGGTTCTACAACAGCAACCATGCGTCTTGAATGGGAGTAAAGACCTGACTAGGAAAGACAATTTACTTACAGGTTACCTGGGGTTATTTTGAACAACGGTTAATAAAACAGCCTATTGTGTTATGAGAGAACATAATATGCGTGACACTTTGCACGACATTCATAGCAAAGCAGTACTGATGTAGGTAAGCCTGCACAGAACCCGCCTGTGAAGAAGAAACGGGTTTAATTTGTGTTCACTGAGACGAGCACATGCAGCACTTGTAGTAATGGTGTCTGCGGAGCCTGAAGGTGCACAAGCAAATCCCACCAACTCCAGAGGATCCTTGTCCACGCACATCTCTCATGTCCCTTCCCTATGTCAGCAGAAACTCTCCTTAGGTGCTCGAATACCTGATGTGAGGACACGCTCCCGGCTCTGTCCCCACCTCCTCCCTTCCTACCTGCAATCCCTGCGGAGGCACAGCAGTGCAGAGTCAGCAGCAGGAAACAGCTGTTGGTCAGGCCACTACATGACTAGTATTTCTAATTTAAGGCCCCTTGCCTTCTTTGTTAATTATATTTTACTCCAGAGGTAAAATTATGACAAGAGAACCAATTAATTTACCTGCTGTATCACAGACCAACAGAGCATGGCCTGTGCAAAACTAAGCTTTAAGCCATCAGAAAGAACTCAGAGTTAATTCCCAATTAAACAGCACATAAAATAAGGTCTAACTACCTCTAGCTGCCTTACATCAAGTAAGAATTTGGACCTACAAATCCCATTACACGTGCCTTGCTCTTCTGTGCCTTGCAAGCCCTATTCATTCAAATTGGGGCACCTTATGCCATAGTAAAGTGTGCTCCAAAGTATGTGCAGGACCAGGGTTTGTTTTACTTCAGTCAGCATGACCAGGATCTTTTTCACATATAAGAAAAATATGTCTGCTTAAATATACATTCAGACATTTTTATTCATTCAAAAAATTATTCAATTTTTTGAATGAATATACATCCTCTTTGTGCTGTAAAGGTATAGGAAGGGGTCAAGAAAACTTTGGCTAAATGTTTTTACTTTTGGTGACAACAGAAGTGTGGCTTCTGCATTTCCCTGTCACACCCATACAGGTACCAGGGGACCGTGGCAACTACGACACAGATTTCATTCTCACAGTGAAACTTCTGCTGTAATGCACTGGGAAAACTGAGGATGTTGTCTGTGCTTTACTACAGGTGATTTGAAAATATCCTTCTCCCTAAAGTGATCAGGCTTTTGGTTTATTCCGAAAATTTAGGCAAGAATTTTAAATTATTATTATTATTACTATGAAAATCAAAATCTGTACATCCTACAGAGTATATTTCAGTTGCTTGGGAACTCTCTGAGGGATAATATAGATATCTATAGTACTTGGATGTGGAGCCCTTGATACTGCTGGAGCTTTAGACTATACCATAACATCTACAATCACCGATACCTAACTGACAGCTAAAACGTAACTGTGGCTTTCTTATTTTCTGGGCTAAACACCTAGACCTGCAATGTAATTAGCGTGACTAATGCCACTGATTCCCACATATAAATGTATTTTTAGTCCTAACGAGAAGCGTTTATTTAGATGTAGTTTGCTTCTGCTGGCATGCAGAATAAAAAAGAAGAGAGTAGTAGTTTTATCATGGAGCAAGATCAGTTCTGCGTGTCTTTCAACTACAGAAAATGTGCAAAAATACGAAAATTTCACTGGAAACTACTTCACCTGTGGAAAGGAACAATCAGTGTAGATGACTAAAAGCGCAGTGTTTCTACCGGACAAGGCTGGATGGATCATGGCTCTGCACCGGCCGTCCTTCGGCCCCCGCCCTCTGTCCGAGCGCTGCACAGCAAGTGAAGCGGGGGAGCGGGGCGGGGGGGAGAGGGCGGCCGCGGCCGCGCGGCTCCTCCCGCAGCCCGGCCGGGTGCGGTGCGGTCCCGACCGGGACGGGACAGGGAGCGGCACCGCAGCGAGCCTTCCCGCCGGCACACCACCCCCTCAGCTGGCACTGGCAGATCCCAACGCGTTTCACAGAGGAGGGGAACTGAGCTCGACGCGCTCCTCCCTCGCCAGGCAAGGCTGCCTTGTGCTGGCACTGGGCTCCAGGGACCCGCGAGGGAGGGGAGCGCCAAATGCAACGGGAACAGCCGCAGCCGGCGGGCCCGTGCCGGCCCCATCGGGGCGCCTTATCCCGGGGGCGGTGCGCCCCTTCCCCCCTCGCTCCCCAGCCACC